AAGAAATTAATTTGAATCTGATGGTGCCATAGTAGGCCCAGTATGTTGTACATAATGCATGTGTCAGATAAATGAAGAACATCTTTTATTTAACAACCATAAAGCTAAGAAAGATGGATGCTGTTTACACTTGGGACCTAGTTAGATAACACAATTCAGGTTTTCAGATCTGCTCAGTTTTTTTAAATAGCAAAGAATATTTATTTTTTTTTCAGTATTAAGCCAGGACATTCATCTTAATGCTAGCACATAAGGAGACCATGAGACTTAGAGAATATGTCAAATCAATGCTTTAGAAAACAGCATTAAACTTTCAAGTTAGAAATAAGCATAAAATCGTTTCAGAGTCTTTCTTTGCTTTTAAATGGATTTCTTTCATAATGTAGCCCTTAATGTATTAAAAACTGTGTTTTAAGTCAACAGATGCATACTGTTCTTCTGTTCCCTAAGAAAGAAAATCACAGTTTTTAATTGCAGAAGCAGACCCAGTTGCAGCCTGATACCCTGGTTACCCTTCGAGTTTACCTAAAAGCATTTATGCAACTTTGGATAAATGTATTGCTTTGGTGTATTCTCTTGCAGACACTGCATCTCATCCTGCCTTGACACAGCTTCATGAAAAGAAGACAGAACTTGACTAAAAGTGCACCCTCTTCCTATTTATTCCAAATAGACTAGATAAGAGAGAGCAGAAAACCTAAAGACATGCTTGCTTCACACAACAAAAACCTTGAACGAAAGTCTAACAAGAAAGCTGTCACTGCCTTGGCTCCAGTTGTAACTGGAACTCTTCTTGCATCAGCAAGAACATCATGAGCTACAATAGGACTCCCCTGGTGCAGGGGCTCAGAGAATATGCAACATTCATTTTTGCACCTATTTTTGCTGCTGTGCATTTTACAACAGAATAATCAGACAAAAAAAGGCATGAACACCACAAAAGTAGTGAGTGTGATAAACAAGTTTTCCCCTTCCTTCCTTCCTTCCTTCCTTCCTTCCTTTCCTTTCCTTTCCTTTCCTTTCCTTCCCTTCCCTTCCCTTCCCTTCCCTTTCCTTTCCTTTCCTTTCCTTTCCTTTCCTTTCCTTCCTTTCCTTCTCTTCTCTCCCTCCCTCCCTCCCTCCCTCTCTCCTCCCTCCCTCAAAGGAATGGCTTGAGTTACTAAGTCACTGGGTCAGTCTCCCTCTCTCTGCTCTACGCATCTGTTGTACCCTGGCTGCAGTGTCCTCCTTCTCCCACAAAACCCCATCCCATGGATCAGTGATTTGGACTTTCTCCCCACCTGCAGGAACAGTGGATCCAAAGCCCTACAAGCTGGGGAAGGCTCAGGTTTCCCCCTTCCTCATCAGTGATCCAGCCCATAGTATTCTGCTAATTCATAATAATTCTGCTAAATCAGCAAATGTTGAATGGCAGCTCCTCCACCAAGAGAAACAAGAGCTCAGACTTAACAGTTTCCTTACCCTTTTAAAAGACAGATGGTCCCTTCCTCAAAATGGAGACTTCCTGAGTTGCTGTCCATGGATACAGTTGTATTTACAGCTATATTTCAGAAGCTCTGCCACCGTTTGAGAGTTAAAATAAATAAAATTATAAAGTTTTTAATTTAAAATATGCATACATTTAATATACAAAATTATACAAATTATACATTTAACTAACATAGAAAAATACATCTTGTTAACAAGATAAAATGTCAACATATCTTACATCATTTAAGTGAGTTACAAATCTGTGATAATCATCAAGTAGACTTTGTGACTTCATTACAATTCTGTATCCTCCCTAGTTACACTGAAAAGTAATACATATGTACAGTTGATACTTATGTCAAATGTTTTAGAGTGGAAATCTTTGCTGAAAAGTTATCCAGTAGGGTTTAATTCAAACAAGAGTGGCCTCTCTCATACAACTGAAGCTTCTCACTTAGCTGAGACCAATTTGACACCTGGTTACAGGGTGGTCATGGGTCAAAGTTTAAACTTCTTGCATTTATTCACAAACACCCCTCTCACCCCAGTCTAGCTGGTACATCACACCGTAATCCGAAGGCTTTTTGTGAGTTCTTTGGCACCTCTTCAGATGGATCCCAGTCATGGCCCTAACAACTGCTTTTCATGACTTCTTGTTACCATCCCATTGTTGCCTGTGCATAAGAGTTAAATCCTGCACAGCACTAGAGCTCAAAAGGCAAGATCTCTGTATGTTATTCAGCCCAGATTACTCATTAATACCTTAGGGGGTGGGGAAATATCTTTGTTTCAGTCAAACAAATGTATGCAGCAAGTCTTTACTCCTTATTTAATTTACATGGTTTCTTTTTCCAAGTTCCAAACAAAAGACAGGAGTGTAATTTATAAACAAGCTATAAAAATCTGTTCCATGCTGGGTTTTGTTTTACATACTGTGAGCTATGTGATGACTTTCTTTTAACTATTTACATGTTCTTTAAAACTTGTTTACCATCACAGAGAGCAAAATAGAAGACCACCATCACCGCTTTGATTTCCAGGCCTTAATGTCCATCCCCCCTCCCTTTTTTAGCTGTGCTAACAATTTGCTCTTAATTCCTAAATGATAGTATTAACTCATGAGTTAAAAGCTTATTCAACTTTTCCTAAGATCTGCTCAAGACCATCAGTGAGTACATGAATTACCTCATACAGGATTTTTTCCACAGGAGCTGTTTTCAACTCTGAACTACATTTTCCCTCTTTTTATTTTAAAAAGACCACAATTCAGGGAGTAGAGAAATGCATGAGAGAATGGCGTCGGTTAGTGCACACTGCGCAGTAACCTCTCACATTGGAATTTACATTTGCATATTCATATTCCCATAGCAAGAGCCTATGTTACACAGAGAAACGATAGTGAACAGAGATTGGTATAAATCTCTGAAGATCCTAACAACTCCAAATCAAGGCAGGTCTCCACAACTACTAATCTCTCTTTTTCTCTCCTATCTGCATAGACAACATTAAAGAAAGCATGATGCCTAAGCATCTATCAGAACTGAGCATTAAAGCCAAGTTGCAGCAAGCATGAAATCTTGGTCCCAGGGATGTCAGTGGAAATTTGCCAGCCACTTCAGTAGTACAAGCATTTCATCCAGTACACTTAAACTTTCTTTCTTTTTAATTTTGTTCAGCTTGACCTACAACTTGCAGCTTTCCTTGTATGCATGGATCCCAGTGGTAGAACTTAAGTGAGCTACGTTTTTAATTCACATCCTACATAAGAAACAGTATACTCTCTTTCCTAACATTGGTGCAGGGACAAAAATTCCTGACCATAATCCCATGGCTACCGATTTCTAATGCAAATATGTTTCAAGCCAAAGGCACAATATGTTTTAAAGGAATTCTGCTAAAGCAAGAAAGAGGTTTGAACAAGTTTCTGTAATCCTAAGGTCTGTTCCCACTCTGCCTCCTTAAGGCACTAAAGGATTTCCAAAGGATTACTGGCAAAACCCAACATGCACATGTCCCTCCCTCCACCCCACAGCCACAGGAAATTCAAATCCTACAATCCTTCCTCTGCAATTGACAAATACAGGTAGATTTACAAAACACAAAGGCCACAAGGACAAACTTCATCCATGCCTTAGCAGGAGGTTTATGCTGGGAATTCTGCTGTGTATGTGAAATACTTCCTAGCGATTGTATTATTTTGAATGTAACATGATTATCATGCCAGAGTCAATCATTGTACTTCAAGCATCTGCCATCCATAGTGATGTGAAGAATAGAATTCAGGATTTAAAGGTTGCATAAGGAACTGTGGGAATACTGTAAGCCATATTCTCCATATCCTGCAATGCTCTATAGAGTGTACATAAATAGTCGAACTGTCAAGAAATCATATTTTCCATGTGACACTGTCCATTTTGTCTATTTAGGGTGACAGAAGAAGATTGTATTTACTTATGCAGAACTTAACAGCATCTTAATTCTGACTGGAAGGAATTTGGTCAAAGCAATATTGTGCATATAAAGCAAGCAGAACAAAATGCCCAAATTTGCATTCTGAGAAAGTTTAACATGGAACAACTATACACGTGAAGCATCCCCTGGCACGTTTATCATAGATAGCACATTAAACAAGTCAACTTCTGTTAACACAACTTTTAGACAATACTTTTCACAACAAGGCAACTAGAAAATAATAGCTAGGCTCTCTCGCTTAGCTAGTAATCTCACATTAAAATTGTTCTGCTTTCTTACAATGATTTGAGATAAAGTTAGGATTTTAATTCTTGATCCTCAGCCACATGAAATGCACCCACTGGCTTACCAATTAATAAACAGACTTTTCCAATATCGGCGAGACAATTTTCATATTAGGAGGGGGTAGAATTTAAAGGAGATCAATATGCTTCAAACCACGAAGGGTGAAGCGTGTTGTACATTCCTTATGCTAACCATTTTTAAATGAAACCAAAAGGAGGAATGCCTATGATGCTACAAAATGGACAGGTTCATTATCAACATTTATAATTTGTGGTGGGAGATTATGTATAAATACTAAGAAAGAGGCATGATGTTTTATTTTGACACTTAATTCAAACGTAAGAAGTAGGGTTAAATTGCCTGAGTGTTGTGGAAATGATGTATATTTTCAGGTGGATAGTATGCAAATCCATAGAAACCTACACATATGTCATTGCTTTATTTTAAGAACTTGTAGTTAAGCTTCAAGTGTTACCATGCCAACGTGTCATCTTGCTACTAATCATAATCTAGAAATGCATATTACATTAATCTGATCTGGGATTCCACAGTGTATTATCCTTCTGCCTCCTTTCAAAGGCTATCTGAAATTACTGGGTGACTAAGGACCATAAAGACAGTGCATTCTAGCAGTTAGGTCAACATAAAAAAAAAAAAAAAAGGGAAAAGAGGAAATACAAGTGATAAAACAGTTCTAAAACCTGAAAGTGCATTACACTGTAAGGGACATTTTGAGAAAGAAGTATGCACATCTGCTCCTGTTCAGGTTCAACAGTACTATGTGACTTTAGTTAAAGAAGGAATGAATGTACCATATGATCCCTTATGCACAAGTCTTGTGCCTGCACTTACATCTCCCTGCCTTCACAGATGGGTATTCAGATATGAACATTGGTGCTTAGGGGTGCATAAATTTGTATTGTGCAGTGTGGATGCAAAATGTGTTTGCATCACGTGTAGCATTATCAACCAGTGTGCACAAACCCACCTATTTCAGGAAAAGCATGTATGCATGTGAGTGCCTTAATCTGAAAGTTAAATTAAATGTGGCCTATTCATGCAATTGAAACAATCAATCTAGACTACTGGGACACAGCGCTTTGATGTTCTAAGTGCCTCTCAGTGCGCATGAAGTGCATTCCTAATTCCTACTTACCCTTGTAAAAATGCAGTGGTCTCATTTCCTAAACAGTTTGTACCCTCAAGTACCACGTCCTCGGAAATACTAAACATCCTAACTCAGATCAAAGACTCTTTCAGGAATGCTCAAAGCCATATGAGGCTGAAGATATTACATGCCCACACACCTAAACCCATGAAGACTGAGATCTGTGCTTAACTGGATAATTTTTTTGAAATGCTGAGATCCCAAGAAAAGAAAACAGAATGAAAACTCAAACCACACACTGGGTTGGCCCACATGGCCAGCTTCTACTACAGGAGGTGGCTAAAATGTGACAGATGGTAACTCAAGGCAACTTCCCAGTTTTTTCCCATAATGAGGCAGCTGCAGTCACCAGCAGGTCCAAGCACCTTTCATCATTTCTTCAGAGCAGTACTGCTTCTTCTGTGTGACTGATACATTCTTCCCTGGATAAGAGGAAAGAGGGGGTGGAAAAAAACATGGAAGAAAAATAAAAAAGACAAAAGCATAAGTATTTGGATTTTCACAATGTAGGGAATTGTTTGTCATTCATTCAAGGCCAAAATAAAGCATTTGGGAAGCAGCACGCCCTAGGTGCTACCATACCAACCTAACTTAATGACAGTGTTAAAAGGACACGTTGTGGAAACTGAACTGTTCAAAACACATGGAGACTTTCTGCCATGATTTACAGATTTTAAGATTAAAAGGACAGCTCACAATTTTCCCTTTTGGAAACTACCTTACTCCTTCTTGTAAACAATTTACGGCCATCCATTTATCAATATGAGAATAAAGAGACCCTGCCATCTTCCCAACACCATTTCATCATCCCCTTGGCAGGGATCTGCAGAAGTAATCTCATGGATGAAGTTCATCCCAGGGATGACAGCCATCACTAATCCAGCCTTCCAAGGAAGTGCTATTTCTGCACCTCTTCTGAGAGCAATATTTGCTATTTGAATTCTTCCTCAGATATTAAATTTCAAAGCCTGCAAAATACTATATCTGGCTTTTCCATTTCTATTGAGGCTGTCATTATTACTGTTAAATATCACCAGTGACACACTACCTGCATACTTAATGATTTCTAAAACTTGGTGTCTGCTGGAGAAGTATACATCTTGGTACAACAGGAGTATAGGAAATGATAATAACACATAATTTAAAAAATGGTATATTGTATTTATTATAGTAATAATGGTCTAGTGACAGTAATGAACTGTCATTACTAAAACATGTCCCAGTCACTGACATGCCCCCTCCCAAAAAATCAAAAACTGAAAAAAAGAATCTTTATGGCTTGTTCTGTAGGGATGGAAAGGTCTTTCCAAGCATGAGGAACAGAACTGAAAAAAAATCCTGCACTTAATCAGAGTAGTAAAGGGGAGGCCATTATTTTTGTAGTAGCTAAATAGGGTATTGTAGGACACAAAACCAGTGAGGTATGCAAAAATCAGTAACTGTGTCAGGAGAGGCCAGCTGGGCAGGAGCACATCTAGAAGCCCTGCTGATAAGAGGAATTTAGAGCTCTTGCGTACTTCCTACTTCAGATTTCCATCTTGGATCAGAAGGTGGCAAATGTTCAGGCTTACTTCTGGTTCAAAAAACACCAGAAGCTTTCTGTAGCCTTCTTAAAAACTTGTACATTATCTCTGACTCTGCTGTAGGTAGATCCAAACAAAACCATTTTCGTAATTTCTTCTCTTTCCATTGTCCAGTAGAGCTGTACTCCAACACACAGCTGTACTGCACAGCCCCAGGCTGTACTGCAAACACACAAATGCTATTGCAGTCTACTCATGTCTCGAGGCAAACAAAGGGAACCCTACTAAAGTTTTTCCATGGATTATCTTCTTTTTTGATTAATGTCTTTGTGGTCTAAGTGCAATGAAAATAAGATCCAACAGAATACACGGTCTTTGCTATCTACAGCTTCCAAGGATTTTTCGGGACTGTGGGCACTTTGATACTACAGAGAGCAATAATGACTTAGTAACAGCAGAGCTGATCTTGTATTCTGGGATGATCTGAAATACATCCCTGTCTCTCCCCTTCTACTCATATACAAAGTCTCTTCTCTGTGATCCCATCACTGTACATAACAGGTGAGGAGGATCAGAAGGATGAGTCCCTAGGTCCTCCTAAAACAGCCTTATTTTAAAAGACAGAGACGTTGCAATTTTAATCCTTCAATTGCTTTCACAGGAGCTATTCATTGTTGCCAGTTGTCAGTTTACTGACTTGTTCAAAAGAAAAATGTCCCTAAACTCTCAGGTGTGAAAAATGGTGTGGCCAGGAGAGTGGAAATCTGATTCAAACCTCATTCATTCAGTGATTGTATTTTTTGCAATTAAATGATCACACCTTTTGTTATCCACCAATTTAAATTTAAACCAAGTTCTCCAGTTTTCTAAACTTAGGGATAAATAATATTTGCCAAATGCGCACTGCTAGACTGGGGGGCATTTACAAATATAACAGTCATTATTTGCATAATATTTACTCTCATTTTACGACTTCTTTCTTGAAATGTTAGCTTTCAATTATAATTATTTCCTTATTTTTTGTCAAACTTTTCACCTTCTCTTTCCTTTCACCCTCTTTTGTCCTTGCTCCTTCCTATGTGACATTACTTATCGCCGCCTTTATTCTCCACTCCAAGTCCTTTCAAGTCCTTGTGCTCCTTCCAGTCTTATTTCCCTGACATATTTATCCTTCACACTTCTCTTATGCTTTCTCTTCTCTCCACTTGTCTAACTAAGCGGTATGACAACATAAACCACTACTGAATTGTTTTGTAATTACTCAGTCAGGGAGGAAGTCTGTGTGGTGAAATGCTTGAGGAAAATAGAAAAAGGTCTTCATGATGTCACTTCACCCAAGAAAAATATCACCCAGTCATTTCCACTGCTTAAGCACAAAGATGCAGTTTCCAACTGTGCGTCACAGTGGTTAGAAAACAGCTGAGTTGTTATTAATAATGAACCTAAGGGTTTCAGGATGGTATTTCTGGTGCTCAGAAATTTGCTGGCCTCCCATTCTTTGTTAGGGCTAAAGCACATGCTTGAGCAATGATGCAGTGCTGAACTCATGTTCCTTCACATCATGAGCAAGATCAATTTCAGTCACCAACACAAAGAACTGCAAATGCAGAAGGTCATAAAAAAACCTGATTTCTTCATGACACTGAAGCCATAAAGGGAACCTTGCAGCGTAGAAGTGATGAGACTGTGCACTGCTCTCTAAGCCAGGACTGAATTATTCTCAACATAAGAAAGATCAACAATCCATTTTCATGTACTCACTTGAGATTCTCCAGTTTTTTGTCACCTCTGTGAGCTGCTAGTATTTATTTGTTCTAGCTGCTCCCAGTCATCCTTATCTATCCATGTTCATCATGTGCCAACTGTCAGCAAACTATAAGATCATAGGAAGGGACCTCAGAATGCCATTTAGATCAACATACTCAAAGCAGAAGTCAGACAGACCATTTTGCTCAGGGCTTACTTAGTAAAAGCTTGAAAAACTCCCAGGATGGAGTTCTGGATAACTTCCCTGGGCAGCCTGTCCCCCTGTTGGGCTGTCCTCATGAGAGAAATGCTTTTCCTGTATCCAGTCTGAACCTCTCATTTCAGCTCATGCCCTCATCTTCTCACCATGCGCCACTGTAAAGAGCCCTGATCCAGCTTCTCAATTACTTGTTCAGGAAGGCTGTTGTGAGCTCCCTCCAAAACCAGCTCTTCTCCAGGGTGAACTAGCCTTGATCCTTGGCTTCCCCTCACAGAGCAAGCGGTCTGCTCCCTCAGGTATCTAAACATTTTTAAGGAAGCTCAGAGACCATCAGTACTGCCAGCCAAGGGTATTGCTGTTCCCTGGCCAGTTTGGCTTTTTCAAAGACTGTAAATATAAAGAGTACTGTGATCAAAATAGTGCTGACTGCTCATTACCTTAGCTCTTACCAGTGGAACAGAACTAGTGCTGACCAGCCACATCTCCTCCTACAGCTGCAGGACTGTACACACATTCCTAAAATATCTATGGCATCTTCAGAGAGTCCCTGTTCTCTTTTTTAATTAGTCATAGTGTTATATGGATTGGAAAAGACCTTTTAGATCATTGAGTCCAACCATAATGAATGCATGCACAAGATATTAAGTTAAATAGTTCTTTTCATTAAGAAGATAAAGATAGAAAAAGCATGATGCTATTTTATTCTTATCATCTCAAAGAAGACATGAAATATGGTGATACCACTGTAAAGCCATATCAAAATAATATCTGCTAACTTTCTAAGTATTTGAGGTAGGTGTAGGTAGTGGGCTATCATGCCATTCAAGCTGCTTCAGTTTGGCTTCTGAATAATACCAGTCAATACATACTGGGAACGTTTCCTCAATATCTGACACATAGCATTAAAGTTCTGAAGTCCCCAGCGCACGGCGGGTGCTCTCTACCTCAGCCCTGATATGCAGAGTGGGTACACCGTATTTCCATTGCTTTGTATCACTAGAGGTATTCAAAATGAAGAAAGTTCAAAATTCAAGGAATTCATAAAATTTATTTACGCCAGGCAAGGAAACCCATATTTTTGCTATTGTGAACAAATACTTGAAGAAAGTACAATGCAACACCTGGAAAGAGTTTCTGTTGTAAAATATAAAAGAAGACTGCTGTCATCTGCCCTTAGCAAGGGTTATATATTATCTTTTCTTTAGTTTTGTTGAAGTGCCACTGGCTTTTACCACTATTCTGGACCTACAGTAGCACAAATAACAAAAATGCCAGGCATGGAGGCTTGTACTGTTCCTTAATATTTGAAAATGAAGTTGCAGATACTTGGTCTAAGTAATAGAATCATGAGCAGCCAGTCATTTTATAATTTCTATTCATTGCAGAAAATCAATGTGTTTGTAACACACACACACTTTAATAGAAAATTATCTACCATCAATTATTTGTGTGTGTTTTATAATAGCTTATTTTAAAATATAAACATCTTTATTTAGAAAAGTTGTGGTTGCCTGCAAATTGAAACACTGACAAAGAAAGAAAAGTGATTACAGGAAAGGATATGTTGCAAAGCCACATTTTGACATAATATGCAGAAGATCCCTCAGCTGTCTGGTAAAGAAATACTATATGACAGAGTATACTGATCTCTGTAAAAACACTTGATTGATGTGCTTGAAAAAAAGAAAATCAAATAGTATCCAATGTAGTCTTCTCATTCACAAATTGCTGCTTATACAGTTCATTTCTAATTGATGGATTCACACTGGAGGAGTGAATCTCATTAAACTGGATGAAGACATATTGATCCCAGTTATAAACAAAGGCCAACAGAGCTTGCATATATCCCGTAGGAAAGGAAAAACTACACCAATTGCATCCCAGGGAAAAAAAGCCAAAAAACCTAATCAACCATGGATGTTGAAAACCACAA